TTAGCCTTAAGTAATATTCTAATTTTGTGACACACGGAATTTTGGATTTTCGTTTGTTTCCGCTTCAAATCATCAAAATTAAATGAAATAAACATTTGAATGCATCAGTCTGTGTGCAATGAATAAATATAATGTACAAGTTACACCTTTTTTTTACACAATTTGTAAAAATTGTATAAGCGTTACACACTCTAGATGCTGTTTATTAATGTTTGAAGCATCATCGGCTCTGATGAATGAGGAATTAGGACTTTTTTCCACTTTGAAAAGGTTTGCATTTGAAATTACCAGCGACTAAGACAGAAAGTAAATCTGTGCCTATATTATGTGGATTTATCCAGATATACAATTGTGCAGAGGTAAAACCCACTATTGTCAGTATTGATTGTAGTCACTATACTGGGGGAGAGAGCTAATGTCTGTTTGCAGAGTAGTGTTGGCCCTATTAAATAACAATGATGGATATATCTGTGGAAATAAGTTTTTTTTATATGACATATCTTTAGTAAGTGTAAAGGGCAGCGTTCTGATCTCAGTAGCTACCTTAGATGATATATTTGTTTGATACAAGTCTGCAGCTGACATTTAAGAATAGCAAAGCAAACCTTTTGGTCATTAAAAAATATTTAAAAGCTTTAAGTTTGATATTTAAATTGACTTTCTTCCTCAGAGTACAAACAAGACCTGGAGGAGGTGATAAAAGATGAGACCAAAGGCGACTTCATGAATGCTCTGCTGGCCCTGCTGAGCGCTAAACGGGACGAGAGCACAGAGGTTGACATGGAGCTGGCCAGAAAGGATGCAAAGGTACAAAACAGATAAAAAAAAAGTTCTGGACTTGTGTAAAACACTGTGTGTGTAGAAGATGAACTGCTCCATTATAAACTGGAAACCAAACCTTGTTTCCTGTTGTTGTTCAGATTTTGTTTGAAGCAGCTGAAACTAAGGGTGACATAGACGTGTCCACCTTCATCGACATCCTGACCACACGCAACGGCCCGCAGCTCTCTAAGAGTGAGTCACAGAAATGTCTGAATGTTTGTCGGTTTTGTTTTCAAAGTGACACATCCTAACAAGTGGAGCTGCATTGGATCACAGCCAAGTGGAACAGGGAGGACTGGGAGAGAAATATTCATCGTCTCTTTCCAAAATAGTTTTAAAAAAAACAATCTAGACTTTGTTTCCAAGTTTGAAGATGTTTCACTTCCCATCCAGGAAACTTTTTTAATTCAAAATGTCAGAACTAGCGTTGAGTTTGAGGTTTTATACAGTAGCCCAACAAAGGCTTGTTTTTGTTTAGAAAACATGTAAATTGAACAGAAACACATCAAAGATGCTCTCCAAACCTGCAGATACCCAAGTTTAAACCCAAAAATATCTCCATCCCATATGTTGCTGGGGTTTCTGAAAAACTCAAGAGGATTTTCTCCAAACACATAAAAATCGAGTACATTTCGAAATAAACAAGACCCTTAAACAGAGACTAGTGCATCCTAAGGACAAAACCCCCAGACCAAAAATGAGCTTAGTGGTGTAATGCAGTTCAATGCAGAGAGGAATGCTCTGATCTTTATATTGGGGAAACCAAATAACCTCTCCACAGATGCATGGCCCAACACAGAAAAGCGCCCTCCTCTGGACAAGACTCTGTGGTACATCTACACCTTATGGATAAAATACATTCTTTTCAGAACCAGAATGTTCACATTTTGGATAAAGAAAATAGGTGGTTT